AAGATACCACATAGCTTGCTCTCTCACTTCTTCCAAGTCTTTACTCAAATATCCCCTTTTCAGTGAGGCCTTCCCCCCACTCTGTTGAAATTGTTACTCCTTCCCTTCACTCCCTTTACTGTCTTGTCTTTATCTCTCTGCCTAGCACTATCACTATCTAATACACTATTTATTTATTTATTTATTTATTTATTTATTTATTTATTTATTTTTCTGTCTTCTTCCACCCAAATGTAGCTTCCTAAGGGTGGGATTAGCACAGACATCTGCTCTGTGGGGACTGTTGTGCAATGCACCTTAGGGTGTTGATTCTGAGGCTGCACCCTGGTCACTGGTGACACCAGCTGTGGTGAAAATCCCACTGGCTTTCCTCAGTGTGGGAGCACCTCTGGTTGCGAGGGGCCGAGCAGGCTCAGGAAGTTAGTATATCAATGATAACCTTGGGTGAGGGAAGTTAAGAGGTCCTTTTCCAATTGTGCAGAAATACTGTTAAGTATGAGAAAGGCAGGATTAAAAGAGAGGGAGGAGAAGGAAGGTAGGGGGAGAGAGAAGGAAGGAGAAAGGGAAGGATGAAGGAAGGGAGGGAGACACAGAGAGAGAGAGAAAGAGAGAGAGAGAGAGAGATGGGGGAGGGATGGAGAGATGAGTGAGAGGAAAGAAGAAAGAGAGAGTGGGAGGTAGGACAGAGAGGAAGGAAAGAGGGAGAGAGGAGGCAAAGAGACCTAATAAAGATGAAGATTGAATTTACAAAAACAAGATATAAAGGAGCTTAGAATTGGATTTATTTGAATTAAGGAAAGATTTTACTACACAATATTTCCTAAATACCGAAATTTATAGATAGTAATGCACACTCACTACAATGATTCTTATTTCTTGAATACTGGAACCAAATAAATCAGCAGAGCAAAACCAGTCCTGCTCCATGCATGCCAAAAAAGCAGAATCTCAGAGTGGATTTGCAAGGGGAAGTGAGCTTCCCACTTCTCCCCAGACTCCCGATGCAGGCACACCATGCTTAATTGCTGTTTCCTTCAGAATCTCCCCCGGCTTTCATAATAAGTTCTGATGTGCACCCGACTCAGTGTGCACTTTCTGTGTTCTCCCTCAGGATGGGAGAAATGCTGCTAATGAGGAGGGTTCAGCTCAGATTTGTTTGATGACCAGAAAAGCTGACGGTTCAATCCTCATCCCCGTGTTTTAGCAAAGGTGCACCTGTTTTTTTTCACCCTGCCTCATTCCGGAAGGAATTGCCCACAGAACTCCACATAGACCCAGAGAGGCCAAGGCTCATTAGCGAACAACAATCGTTGATCTCTCCACTGGAGATTTAGGGCGTCAGTGTTTGCCTGCAGGGTTATGGCATGTGGAACTCCACGCAGCTTCTGAAATCTGGCCTCCTCACAGAACAGGGACAGCCTGTTCAGTGAGGGAAAGAGCACTTGTTTGTTTCAGCCATAGATGCCAAAAAAGAAAAAAAAATCAGCTGTTTGCTCATTTGGTCAATTAATAGGGCATAACATCTTTATTATCCTCACTTTTCTCAGGGGCTAACAATCTTTAGCTAAGGGTTCAAGGTTAAAAGATTTTATTCCATTAAAACATATGACAACTCTATTAGTGACATCTTGGGAGCACTATCCCTGGTCATTTTGCAAGCCTATGTGAATTATACTTCACTCTTATGTCCATTTGTTTCAATGGCTTGAAATGTTCCAAATTCTTTTTTTGAAGGGATGGCCAAAATATTTTCAGTCCTAGGAAGGGGCTCTGAAGGGTCCTATGATTGAATTCCCTGGCCTTAGCTATCTCAAGCAAATTAAAATCTCAGTTTACTTTTTTAAAGACTCCCCCTAGAGAATGAGATACCTTAACTTCTCTAAATATAGCTCACTGTAAAATTGTTGATTATGACAGAAAAGTACTCAGACAGCACAAGTTTTCTCACTAATTTTATGTTTTTTTTGTCGAACTTTCTAAAGTTACCTATGCATTTCTATGAAATGGATTGATCCTAATCTAGACTGACAACAGACATGGACAACTATCACCTTAAATAACTGGGGTAAAATCCATAGGTATTTCTTTTTCTGCGTAAATGGAAGTAATGAGCCATGATGGCATTAACAGCTATAAAAAATATATTCTTAGTCTCTCTAAATTCATAAAATGGAAATGATTTAACAACAAGAAGAAGGACACAGTAAAATTTCCCAGAGTAAATGCTCATACACACAACAGAAGCATGCATGGTGGCCCTTGCCTGGGCATGTCCCTGTCTATGTGGCCCCCCGAGTCTTTCTAGGTATTACTGTGTTATCATTAGTCCTTCCTTTCTAGCTTTTAATATCTAAGCTTGTCTATTACATTTTTATGTCACACTGGGCATCAGATCTAAAAATAAGGCCAGAAAGCCAAATATCCATGTTTACAATAAAAATTTATTGAGCACCTACTTGCATGTGCCAGGCACTGTGCTCAGTTTACAGGATGACAAAAATGGGTAAGGCAGCCTCTGCTCACAAGGAACTCACAATCTACAGGTGCCGGGGCAGTGTGGGCAGGTGGGCAGATAACCACTCTATCAGAAAGAGGCAGTGCTACGACAGAGGTTTACATAGAGTGCTATGGGGGTATGGAGCATGTGATGAATAACAGCCTAAAAGCATCATGGTGTGTGTGTGTGTCGGGGGGGGGGTTGTGTTAAGATTTGTAGAAGAGAAGGTTTTTTGAGTTGAGACTTGAAGTGTACATTTTGCCAATAAGTAGAGTAGAGGAAAAGTTGGAATTTCACCAAATGTCAAGACAGAACAAAAGCATATTTGACAGGTTATGTCATTTAAAGAGACTGCAAATAGCTTGGAATGGGTGGAGGCCCACATGCATTATGGAAGGAGGAGAAGCTAGCAAAACAAGAGATAAAAAGATACGAAAGCTCTTTTGGTAGTGAAATAAGGAAGAGATTGGGTCCCAGAAAGGAGGATTTATTTTATTTTATTTTTTTAATCATCAAAGGAACCTGATAGATCTGACCAGTAAAGTAAATTTCACTGACTTTGAGACCAAAGGCCAGTCAAACATTTGTGACCCAAATCTTTCTGATCCACAAGGAGATCTCAGCATTCTTCCCTGCATGTAATAGAATCTAAGATCTTATCAGAGTAGTGGACATTTCTTCTGGTCAGACTCATTTGTTTATGGAAACTGCCCCAGTGCCTGAACAAGTAAGTAACTCTAATGTGGAAAAGGCTCTTTCCCTAAGGAGAGAGGTCTCCTGGCCTGAATTGGAAAATGAGTCAGATAAACAAGACAGGCAAACCTTGAGAAATCGGTATCACTAAAATTTGTTCTACTCTTCCAATGTTTTTGTTTGACTCCATTGTTGTCTTGATTGACAAAGAGACTTTCCATTAACAAGCATGACAAATATTTCAGTGGCACAACCAACTGTGCCAAGCCAAGATGAAGAGAGATTAGATGTTTAAACTGTGCTGTCTTCTTCACATAACCTATTCTTTAGAGGGAAAATTCTTTAAAAGACAGAGAAAACTTTGAATAGCACATTCAGTTGAGACATCTGAAAAATGGCAATTCATCTCAACTAAAGTTCACTGATCATGAATTTGGTATTTGTATTTTGGATGGTCTTTTACTTGATCAGTTCCTACCAGCAGTAGAAAGTCTGAATGATTGGGCTGAACGGGTTAGAGCACCTACAGATGCCAATGACATGTTCTTGATACGCATGTAATCTGCCTAGAGAAAGCTTAGCTTCCTTTTCAAGTCTTGTGATTTGAACCCAGGCCTGTCAATCTAGGAGAATATAAATTTACTGCTTCTTACTTTCAGAATTCCCTGGATGAAGTTCTACTATGACCCTTAACTTACAGAGCTGTTATTTGTCTCATGGAACAGTTATGGGCTCAATGATGGAAAATTTCATGTCATGGTTACCCCAATGCATTTGATGATGGTGCAATGATCAAAAAGATGCTGGTGATGACAATTGAACGTCCCTTTGCCTTCCCAGCCTCCTTCATATATTCTCAGGCATAGGATGACAAAGGGAAGTCCACGAGTCACATGAAGAAAGACTGTAGCCATGGGAACAGGAACAGGAGCTCCTCTGTTTGTCTCCACCCCACCCTCCAGGCCATCACACTCTCCTACCTCCCCCTCATACTGTGTCCTTGAATTTCTCCACCATCTTTCCACTGATCACTATCCTTTGCCCAAAGCTCTTCCAATGATTAATTCCAACTAACTCAATGCTCAAAATGTGTCTGGCATAGTTTGTGTTCAAATACAGTGCTATCTCAGTACTCTTTGCTAATTTGTTCCAGAACCTGTGATGAGTCCTGAAACACACAAGTACTGAATAATGAAGCATTTTCTCTTGCAGGGCAGTATAGTGACTCATACAAGTTCTAGCAAGTACGACAAGTCCCGAGCAAGCGACAAGTGCTGAAACATTTTTTTCTTGTCAAAATTCAAGAGTACAGGGCTTGATGAAAGTTCTGAAATGATGAATACTGAAGTATGACTGTGGTTATTGAATAAAATAATACTCTCTAAATCCTCCAATGTAACAGAATATTAGGGAGTGTCTTGTTGAATGAAATAACTCTTCTGTAGGGAGAAAAGAGCAAATGTTTTAAAATCACATTAGTCTAGGAAGATAATAATGCCCACCTTGAATGTTTTGTGAGTATTAAAAGAGGTAATATGTATAAAAATGCTAAGCATGGTGCCTGGAACATACAAGGACCTCAATAAATGCTCATTTCCCTCCTTCCTATCTTATGTGGTATTTTAGGATAATAAATAGCAGGGAATAACTAATCTCTGATGTGTTTGGATGTTTTAGAAGAGACAGAGATAAATAGCAGTCATTGGGAAGGATATTGTTAGGAATTTCTAAAGGAAATAAATGTTTCTATGGTTATTTTTCTTGGTTGGGGTTTAAGAGGAAATTTATGTTGTCCATCAGTTATACTTACCAATTTGGTCTAATTGGCAACTACCCCAAAATGAATAAAACAAGCGGGAATCAAGAGAGAAAAACGGCAGGCATCCTGTCAAAAAATAAAATCTTTGAAATTTCTACAACCCAATGGTCAGATACACATTTTATTATAGCAGACTGATCACCCAATTTATATAAACATATACATGTGATGGCAACCCAAGTTGCACATTCAAATGTATGCAAAGTATCAAGTAGCCCTCCTACACCATCTATAGATGTCTCATTACTTCCTCAATTTTGTAAACAGGTCCTTAAAATCAACATTCCCTTTGCTAGAGGAAGTATCCTTCATTATTCTGATTCAGCCTAGAGGATTGCTGTGGTGGATCAAGGGTTGAGTCAGTTCATGTAAAGTGGCTGAAACAATACTTAGTAAATTCCTCAAGAAATGTGAGTTGTAATATTAAGTATAATAACAATTATGAATCAATTCTGTGTCTTTTAAGACTGAACAGGAACTGGATGCTCCCTTCCCTGCTTTTAAAAACATCTTTCTAATTTCTGGAGATTCGTGTCTTGTTCTCAGGTGATTAGCTACTGTTGACATAAAAGAAGCACTTTTTCAGAGACTAATGTACTTAATTTCTTTTCTTTTCAAAGAGAAATTGAAACCAATGCCAACATGTCACTCACTATACATAATATTATTTCCTGAAGAGATTCCCACATTTCCTTTTCTTCTCTTTCTCTGACTGGCCAAGAAAATGACTAATGAGAGAGATAAATAGATATAGTCATATATATCTTTATCATTTTTTTATTTTTCTATCTCTTTATCTTCAAAAAAGTCATCAAAGCTATTTCATTATAATTGGTTTCCTACCAATTTGGCTATTCTACTTCTCACTGAATGATAAATTTAATGGCAAATCATGTCTCTGGAGTTGTTAACTTACTGAACAAGCTAGCTTTTGGCTAGATGACTCAGACAGTTTCTTGTTTTCAAAGGTAGGCTTCAGAGGAGAATCTCATGAGTTTGAGTAGTTCTGCTCTGCTCATTTTTTGTTCCTTCCCTAGAAGCAACATCTATGGAGGGCCCCAGACCTTCAAGTCAGGTCTTCTGGCCCTGGTTTCCAAGCCAGACTTGTAGAGCAGCCTCAAACTGTGGCAGGTGTTGACAGTTGGTGGTTGGGCAGGGGTAGCTGATTGGTGACCAGCATTGTAGGGTCTCACCTCGCTTTTCACGGAACTTGGTAAATCCTCACTGCTCATAACCTGGCAGAGTCGCCTTTTCATAAGAGTGTATTCATTGGAGAAAGTATAAAGCAATAGCCCTCGAAGCATAAAATATAAGATTTGTTCCTCTGGATTCTCAATAGTTTGAAAAATAACAAGCCAAGAGTAACTACTGTATATTTTCCAGAAAGTTACTAATTAGTATGTTCCTGAGAACATAAAGCCAGCTTGTGAGCACAGGTCTCTGTGGGCTGCTCTGCCACAGTGTGCAACAATTAGATCACTTGCTAAATGCCGTGAGCAGAGTCTCAGGTAGACACCAACACACACCCTGCTGGAAACGTGGCATGAGCATTTGTTTATGGAGACACACGCACATTGGCTTAGCTATGTTTTTCCTGCAGAGGGAACAGCACAGCTGAATTTTCAGTTTATTTCTTTATTCCCCCAGTTACCAAACCCTAGTGAACAAAAGTTACAATGACACCAACCAGAGTCTGGATATCAGGTATCTGTTGATTGTGACTCCAAATGTCTTGATATTTCCTTAATTACCCTTCAGGATATAGTGGAAGAAATGTTCTCAAGGGGAGAAGGAGGGAATAAAAGGCTAAGGATTTTATATCAAACGAGCTTGATGCCCTAAGTATCCTGTTTTTGCTCCTTGCTCAGGTGCCTGGAAAACCTTCTTCTGATTTGGGTTTCTCTGGTGCTAAATGAAATGAAATAAAAAAAATATGTCTCAGACTAAGGTTGTGACCATGCTGAGCAAAGAGCTGCAGACAGAAGTGCAGAGTTCTGAGTCAGATAAAGGCCACACCACTTAATTCACTGTGTAAGTTTAGGCAGGCCACTGACCTTTTTTGAGTGGGCTTTTCTATCTGAAAAATTAAGGCAGTGAACTGGTTAAATAAATAAAGAAATAAATAACCATATCTATATCTATATCTATCTATATCAATAGTACATGCATATAGAATAATAGTACATATTATTCTATAATTTTCCTTCCTATCACCCCTTAGGAAGAGTTGATAAAAGCTAAACAATGAAACAGATAATTTTTTTCTTTTAACATTAATGATAGTATTTCCTAAAAAAATTAATCCTAGTTCACATGTAATGCTAATTTATATTTGCAGCTGAAAATTTGCATATTCAGGAAGGATAAATGATTTAATAAAAATAAAATACATTTAGTTAGACCACATGCTGTTCACTATATTTCTGGGTTTTGAAAATTTTCTCCTACATCACTTGCCATTATTGTCTGCAGTGCAACTATCAAAATCTTCCTTAAAATACCTTGGCCTTGTAGCCTTATGAACCCCCCATCCCCGCCCCATATGTTATCTGTTTGAATTTCTATTGTACTTTGTATCATTGAAGGGCCTTTAACACTTGGTGCTTTACAGTGCAGCTCTTTGTGAACTGAGAGGCAATGCAGCACAGTGCTTGAGGCATGGGTGCAGGCACACTTCCTGGATCTGCCACTGATTAGCGGTCTGAGCTTGGGGCTATTACTTGATCTCTCTGTGCCTCAGTTTTCTTTTTGAACATTGGGAGTAACAATAATGGTACCCACTTCATAGGGTTATTATAAGAATTAAATCACTTTTTTTCTTGTAAAGTGTTGAGAATAGCACTCAGTAGACATTAGTTACTAATGCATCTGTAGAACTCTAAGTTCTTCAAGGGTGAGCTAGGTCTTATTTATCTTGCACTCCCTACAGCGCTTTGTGTATTGCAAGCACACAAGCCAAACGTTGGTACAGTAAGAGAGGTACTGTCAAGGGGAAATACATAAGAGAGAAACCACTGTTTATTTTAAATGAAAGGTAGTTTGGGTTCTCATTTTTTGCCACAATTTGAAAAGCTGAGGAATTCTTGATATGTACTTTGGCTCCATACAAAGCATCTTAAAAGTACAGAGGAATGAAGACTAGAGTGGGAGCCACCTTTCCCACAGTGAGCATTCCAATCTTCAGCATGAAACAACTATTGAATAAGCTGTTGAGTGAGCCAGTTTCCACCATAGGGAGCAGTACCCAGAGAGGAGGGAGCTGGACCATGCGGTGCCCTGGAGCATGATGAAGGACAAATAGACAATTCCAGCTCTAGTATATTGTACTTGTGGTAGAGATACAACAGTAGGAAATTTTCAGTAGCCCTATTATATTAGGATAGCTGGTTATGGCTAAGGATTGGGAAAAAATTTAGGCTGTTTTGTCATTCACCAACTCCTAATAGAGAAAATACTTTTACTTTTAGTTTAGGTATTATCAAATTTAAGGATCAAACCTGTTTCCTTGATCTCATAATTTTTATACATACCTTTTTTATAGGATTAGATAGGATTATTCTCTATCATGTGACTTGATTCTTTCCTTTTGTCTTAGGAGTGGAGGATTGCCAGCTGGCTGAGTGAGCAAGAGACAACAAGGTATGCCAAACACAGTCATGCTGGCTGCTTACCCACAGATCAAGAATGACACAGTATATGCACTTGAGGGAAGAAGGCACTAAACTCCTACATTACATGGATGGGCTGACTATTTCCAAAGGCTTTCTTTCTTCCTCCCTCCAGCCCTCCTCCGTTCCTTTCCTTCCATCCTTCTTACCTCTCTCTTCTCCCCTCCCCTCCCTTCCCCTCCCCTCCCTCTTCCCCCTCTCTCTTTCTATTATAAAATACATAGTTACTCATTGTAAAAAACAACATTAAGTTTTTAAAAGGTGTAAGTGAAAAAATGTCAGTTCTCATAGTACCCTTCCCACTTCAAGTTTCACTCCCTAGAAGCTATAACTAATGATTGTTCACCTGTGTCCTTTCAGATATTTTATTACTGTGTGTGCATGTGCATGAAATTAAAAAAACATAAATGTGATAGTAAACACAGTTTTTTAACTTTAGAAAAAAATAAATTTACCCTTGAATATCTTTCCATATGAGCTCAAACAGAGTTATTGCATTATCCATAATCACTTCAGAATATTTTACTGTTTGTCTACATATAATTTAATTAGTCACTTATTAGTGAATCTTTGGGTTTCCATTTTTTATTACTTTATACATTGCAATAATATGCATAGTATAAATTCCTAGAAGTAAAATCATAGGGCCAAAGGGTATGTGCATTGAAAACTTAATAGGGATTCCTAAGCAGTCTTTCAAATAAGGTTGCTCATACTTTCACACACACCAGTACATATTGCCATATACTACCCTTATTGACAATAAATATTTTAAAAATTTGTGTTTTGCTAATCTGATACATTAAAAAACATTTTGTTTTTCTTAATTTTCATTTCTTTAATTTTGAGTGAGGCTGAGCAGTTGTACTTTCTTCTCTGTGATCTTTCTGTTGATATATTTTGCACATTTTCTTATAGTTTTCTTTTGGACTTATAAATGCTCTTTGATAATTATGGAAATTAGCCCTTTCTCAGGATAGCAAATATTTGCTTAGCTCTGCTATTTGTTTGTAGTGTTTTCTAGTGGGTTTTCTAAACTTTGAATCTATTTTGTATAGAAACTTAGCTTGTGTGAATTAAATAGCTATGAGTTTGCTATTATGAGAAGATGAAGGAAAACATGCTAGGTAAGGCCAAAACAAATAAAAAAAAACTGTTCTACATATAGATTATCCAGAGAGAAGAAGTGAGGCTTATTTTCAGAGCACTTGCCTTTAGTTTCACTAAATCTGCAAGGCAATAGACCCTCCTAGGCTTCATTCCCTTCGCAAGACAGAAGGGAAACTCCAACTGCTGAAAAGCTCTACCTTTTAAGTTTTATTGAATAATGAGCTAAAATCAAAAGAAAAACTAACTGAGGTTGGATCAGTAATGACACCTGTATCTTGGTCTCTAAAA